TATATAGATATTATATATACACACCATTTGGTAATTGTTAGCATCAGGATTGAATTGGAGTAAAATTTTTATCTGCAGTTCCAGAACGGATCAAAAATGCATCCAAATGTATTCCAAAAGTATTTTGGGCTCACACCGCAGCGTTCAGTTCCAGAGCCTGAAAAAAAAAACTGCAGCAAGCCCCATTTTTCCTGCTCTGGAACGCATGCAAATGCATAAAAAATGAATGCAAACGTCATAGAACGCACTGAAAGCCCATTTAAAAAGCTGATTTCAGTTTCTAGTCGATGGTTTAGTTCCGATATACAGGCGGTCCCCGGGTTACATACAAGATAGGGACTTTAGGTTTGTACTTAAGTTGAATTTGTATGTAAGTCGGAACAGGTACATTTTTTAAGTGTAACTCCGGGCAAAAAAACTTTTGTAGTTTTGGATAGCATAGGGAAGGGTCACGTTTGCTTTGCTGTCTGTTCCTATTGTTCAGCAGATTAGAACTTTGATTTAAAATGACACACCAAAAAAAGTTTTTTTTCTATTTTTAATTTCATTTTATATACTTTATTTGTTTTGCATTTTTAATTTTTATTTATTTAACTTTTTTTTTGTCTTATGTCATTTTTTTTTTTAATGCTGGGAGCATAAAAAAAAAAAAAGATTTGATAAATTCCCCCTCTATGTGACATGGAGGAAACGACAATCTTTCTGTTCCTCCATCCGCCTCTTCTCACACTTCTTCTGATCTGTATTTGGACTTTTCGGAGTAACTTCTGAAAATGCATCGGCTCGTTTCCTGTCCTCTATACGCGGGTACGAGTCCACGTAGGATACCGACGCGGCAGGCAAATCCCCCTTGGTGTCAGGAAGACGGACCCTTTGTGCGTGAAAACGGAGAGTTCCCTTTCCCCCAGCGCAGCGGTTACACAACGTCACAGATACATGACTAAACTTTGACACACGAGAGCCTTGTCCACGCCAGCTGAAATTTGAAAGCAGACAGCAAGTTCCTTCTCTGAGTGTTGAACGCAGAGGGAAGGCGAGGAAGAGATTGTGACATCATCCTCCCATTTTTGAATGTGTGCTGCGCTACCCACTACCGCCCAATAAATCCAAAATCCTGCAAATCTCATCCACTCAATGAGCTCTTTCCATCACCATTACTACACATAGGGGGGGAGCAGCTGTTGCACGGCAACCAATCAGCTTCTCTCTTTCAATTTCAAAGCTTAAGGCCTCATTGACACTGGAATCGGCCGGCATGTACAGCAGGGCCGTATCGGGCAGCTCCCGGGAAGGACAGGTGCTGCGCGTGATTAGTACGCAGCCCCTGTCCTTCTCTATGGGACTACGCGGCCGTACGCCCCCCCTACGCTCACCTCAAGTGCAGGTCCGTAGGGGTGCGTGTTTCCTGGCCCGGACGCAGATAGGATCCATCCTGCAGCCTTACTTGGCTTGGTTGCTTTGACTTGGTGGTTTTTTGTAGAACAAAGGCATCACAATCCTGCATTGTGCCCGACACCTACGCAGGGTAGCGAGCTGTACCCCTTAACCCACACCTTCTGGAACCAGAAACGTTAAAGTATGTGTAAACCCAAAAACAGACCTGTCATCTATTGCAGCTTACCGCTCCTTAGATATGGTGGCAGCATTCGGTTTCTTTTTTTTATGCTTCTCTCCCTTTATTTTGACCTGCTGATCCAGCCAGTAACACACGTCCTGTCTAGGAGTGACTCCACTATCTAGGAGGAGCAACAGAGCCGCCATGATGGATCGCTTTCAGAGGGAGGCGGAGCAATGGCTGGCTGGCGTTCAGGAGGCAATACTGCTGCCTGCAGGGTTTTGTTTTTTTAAATCCCACTACTGCAGAGGAGGGCAACTCCTGTTCTATCGAAAAGTCCGACTTGTCGAGTTCTCCGACTGGTGGCGTCACAGCCGGTGACTGCCAGAAGGAGCTACTGTGCGTGCCCATAGAATCCATGTCGAAATCTCTAACTATTGCCACTGCGTGGCGCCGTCGAATTCTATAACCACGCTCGGCACTGCGCGGCTATCGGCTCCTATAACCTACATGAAATATCACTTTGTACAAGGTTAGAGAATCCGACGCACCTGCGCGGCTATCGGATCATCGGCTCCTATAACCTACATGAAATATCACTTTGTACAAGGTTAGAGAACCTTACGCACCTGCGCGGCTATCGCCTCATCGGCTCCTATAACCTACATCAAATATCACTTTGTACTAGGTTAGAGAATCCGACGCACTGCGCGGCTATCGGCTCATCGGCTCCTATCACCTACGGCAGATATAACTTTGTACTAGGTTAGAGAATCCGACGCACTTGCGCGGCTAACGGCTCCCATCACCAACGGCAGATATAACTTTGTACTAGGCTAGAGAATCCGACGCACCTGCGCGGCTATCACCTCATCGGCTCCTATAACCTACATGAAATATCACTTTGTACTAGGTTAGAGAATCCGACGCACCTGCGCGGCTAACGGCTCCTATCACCTACAACAGATATAACTTTGTACTAGGTTACAGAATCCGACGCACCTGCGCGGCTATCGCCTCATCGGCTCCTATCACCTACAGCTGATATAACTTTGTACTAGGTTACAGAATCCGACGCACCTGCGCGGCTAACGCCTCATCGGCTCCTATCACCTACAGCAGATATAACTTTGTACTAGGTTACAGAATCCGACGCACCTGTGCGGCTAACGGTTCCTATCACCTACGGCAGATATAACTTTGTACTAGGTTAGAGAATCCAACGCACTGTGCGGCTATCGGATCATCGGCTCCTATCACCTACAGCAGATATAACTTTGTACTAGGTTACAGAATCCGACGCACCTGCGCGGCTATCGCCTCATCGGCTCCTATCACCTATGGCAGGTATCACTTTGTACTAGGTTATACAATCTGATGAGCCAATGGCCGCGCAGGGGCAGTGGCAACAGTTACAGAATCCGGCACAGATTCCATGGGCACGCGCAGTAGCTCCACCTGCTGTATATCTCCTACTGGCAGTCACCGGATGTGCCGTCACCAGTCGGAGAACTTGATAAGTCGCAGCTTTCAATAGAACACCGGCCCTCCCATGAGGCATTGGAAGACTGACAGCCACAGGCATGACTCCCAGAGGCATGTTGGGATTCGTAGTTAAAGCGCAGCTGGTGGGCCGGAGTTGCAGCCCGGTCCCATGCGTTGCAATAGTGGCAAAAGGCGACATGCTGCATATCTTTTGCCGCAAGCATCGCAGCTGAGCGGACAACCGACAATCAACCGTTTAAACCCCGTGATGTGAGCGGATATTTGGGCTTTTCGCTGCAATGTTCACTGCCAATCCAGAAATGTCCCCCCAGTACCTTTTCCTGCCACTAGATGTCCTCAGTCTGATGACCGGCATTATACAGCCCACTTCCTCTGAGCCCAGGTCATTCCAGACCCGCCCCCTGCCTGTGATTGGAAAATGAAAGCAGAAGCAGCACAGTGATTAGCTCATCTCTCTCCTCCTATCTGCATGCTCCTTGCCAGCACATGAACTGATTGTCCAGCTACTTGTAGTTAAATCATTCAAGAATATACATGTATCTACTGCATTCATTTGTCTTTTCTATCTTGATCCTGCCAGAAATCCAGAGAGCTGACAAACTTCCTGCAAGTCTTGCAGTGTTATTCGGAATATGAGGTCACAGAAAGTTATCAGGAATCGTTAGGACTACAGAACACCTCTTTTCCATGTTATTAGAAGAGAGGAGAGGTGCGCTGTAGTCCTGCCCTAAGGTGACAACACTCCCCCACGACTGCAGTAAAGTAAGGGAGTGTTGTCACCCAAGGACAGGAAGTGTTACTTGCAGTAATCAGGGAATGAATAGGAATGCAGCCAGCATATGTAAGGAAGCTGCAATATATTGTTATTTTGGGGGTTAGATACACCCCAGGAAGCGTCCACATATCTAAATACAAAGCAGTGACATAAAGGGGTTCTCCTCATCTAGTTAAAGGCAAAGTCCATTTACATAGGATGTCAGTGTAATGGTGTAACCCTTATGGCGACACAGTGGGAAGTTAAAGGGGTACTCCACTCAAGAGACACACAGTGATCAGTGAAATGGTCATTCGCCCCGACACAGGGAAGAACATTCAGGTGACACATAGCAACAGCTTGATAAACAGAGAAGTGTTAAAGGGCCAGGCAGGCCCAGCATACCGGTAGTAGGACAGCAGGCCATTGCTCAGCACGAACCAGCGCCTCTGGTAACCCTTGATGTAGTTGGTCCATTTGAAGAGCCAGCCCTCCCTGGCAGAACCGGACCCGGTG